CAAAAAAGACTGATCATGAACTTTTCCGCTGTTTGTTACGTGTTGGATTCGGTATATCTGTTTGAAGCATCTCATGATTACATTGCAACATTATGTCATATCCTTCATTTTCTTGTAGTTTACATAAGTACGAAGTAGCATAGTATGGTATGCTTTCCCATGAAGTATAGTCCAGTCTAGCATGGTACTTGTTATATGTTATGCTATATAGTATTGTATTACTTTGTATTATATTTTACTATGTGACCGTGATAGTGTTCTACAGTTCGGTTCGCGGTTTTCCTCTTCGTATACCACACTGTGATACATTTGTTCAAGCATGTTACGCCATGTTACAAGCACAACTAGTAGCAACATGCACAACATGCAGCATACTTTTGAAAATCTGTCATAGCATATCACTGCTGGCATTTTCACATTACATACAGCATGTTCAACTGGATTATCACCGGGTTATGTGATATTAGGATACGGTTTGCTGTGCAGTTGTAATGATACCAGCGCTGCCATATGCTTTAGATAGTCTTGTATATGCTACGGCTAGACACTATCAGACGCCGTTAGTTATGATGTATTATCGCATTTTCTGTAGTATATCCCATACGAGTATGCTACATCAGTAGGTACTGTAGTATAGCATATGCTATGCCTCTATAGAAAACACAAGAACAAAATAGGCCATGTACAACCTATAGTCTTTCAGATGTAGCAGCAAAGAAGAGCTGATACATGGTGGATTGCATGTAACCTGTAATCTATAGTCTTGTATAGCGCATGACATGTAATGCAGAATATCCTAAATCATATACTGTACAAGTAGGAAATATGTAAACTTTCATATGTAAACTTTCATGTACATGTACCTGATGGTGTAGATGCGTAGAAGACAGAAACCTGGACAGGTAGATATATATATATACACACAGATATATACACACAGATATATACACACAGATATATACATGCGGCAACAGTGCCTCCTGTGATCCACAAGGCCTTGGTTCAATAGTCTGTGTCGTTTTAGACATCTATGGTCTGTGACTGTATACCTCGGTTTGAACAATTCTCGCATGTCAACCCTTCCAGACGTTCCATACACTCCAGACACCACAGATGCCTCAGACATTCCAGATGTTCCCGACATGGCAGAAATTCCAAGTGAGTGTTCCAGACGTTCCAGACACTCCAAACTTCTCAGATTTTCCACATCTCCAGACATGACAAATGTTCCAGACATTTTCTGTCTTTCCAAACATTCCAGGCCTGCCAGACATTCCAGACTTTCCAGAATTCCGGCCGTTCTAGATTCTCCAAACTTTCCAGACATTCAGTACGATCCAGCTGTTGCTGAAACATGTGAATTTTTTGGAATGTCTGGTATGTCTTAAAAGATTAGGAAAGTTTGAAAAACATCTGATCCGGATAATCCAGACGTTCCCAACAGAGCCTCTCTTCGGATTTGGGGCGGGCTCTCACCGACCGGCTTGTGATTGTGGGTTCTCAACTGCAATTACCGTCAGACGCAGAAAAGCAGTTTCAATCCATTGCGGAGGTGTTCGCGTCTGTGGCAGACCAACACGTCCGCAAGACTTTTCGCCGACTTCTTCAAGCGTGTCGCGGCAAAGGTGAAGACTATCGCGGTGCAAGAAGCCGGCATGAAGGAAGACACGTTGATGCAAGACTTTTGTCCCGCCGACGAATGCAGCACAGGGTGACAGGTGCGCGAGTAGGTCTATGGCCATTGGCATATCTTGGCGGTACCATTGAGCGTTGCAAGGAGCGTTGCAGCGATTCTTTCAATTTTGCGCAGGTCTGCCGACCAGTCATGATTTCGGACGCGTGCATCGCTAGGGGAGGCTGTCATATTGCAGAGTGGCAAGTTCTCTGACACGACAACATTCTACGGTGCACACTGCAGCTTGATTGTGCTGCAAGCGCCAGCTTGGTGTCGTGCTGACTGATTCCTTGCCGTGCGTTATGTACAGTTTGCTTAGTTATACATTTGATAGACAGTTGAATTTTAGATATACGCCAGCCAGCTGGGACGTTATGATATGTGCAGATTTCATGGCTTCTGGCTAACGAGCGAACAGGAGCTGTCGTATTGCAGGCAAAAAGCACAGCACACTGGACTGCATCACCCCACTCTTTTTCGTCGGTTGCAAATAAGAGTGGAAGCTCCGGCGCAGGTGACAGAAACCTGTGTTATCAAGTCGCGAAGAGTGTGCAACATTCAGAAGTCCAGGGACCAGCTAGCATGGCAAGTTTCCACGGTTACGCGCCCATCTGGGCGCCGTGACCCGCTTCACCGTCTTCTCGAGATTGAGCCACCATGTACTTGAAGCAACACGAATAGCTCTTGAACAGTTGCTCTCCGCTCTCTGAAAACTCAAGCACCCGGTGTTCTTTCAAAAAAGATCTCAGCGAGCCGCTGTGCTGCAGGATGTAGTTCAGATTCTGGAAAAATAATTCCACGTCTCTGTCTGCCATGGACCACTCTGGCTGAGGGCAGCTGGGAGTTGTGGCGAAAGCGAATGTTGATGACAACGCCGTCTGGCAAGGTGTATGGCCAGGACACTTCATCAGGAAAGGAAACCAGCTTCCGTGAACATCAACACCGTCGGTGGTCGAGGTCGTCCTCGTGCTGCAGTTCCGGCCTTTTCCGGACTGTCCAAGCAGTTCAATCTCAGCAAACCAAGAAACACCTTCGGGAGAGCGGAGTATTCCACTTCCGCATCCACGCCCACCGACTCGTATTGTTGATGCGGTTGACTGGCTGCCCGCTATTGCAAACAAGAAGCGGACTGTTGTTTTGACAGCCGTTCTCGCCCGAATTCCGCGAATCATCTCAACCGCCACTCATGGAAGTTCCAAGCCACGGCTGTGTTTACGCTTGGCGAATGTAGTCCGCCAATCGAGCCGCAGCTTTTGGTCTCACAGGTGCTGATGCCGCTTTGGAGCAACCTGCTTACCCACCAAGCCGGAAACAGCAACGCCCGCAAATGCCTGCTTTATGCAGCGGAACCTGGACTGTCTAAAATACTGCGATCCAGCAGAAACTCGTAAGCCTCACCCAAAAGCAACAGCGCAGAAAACCAGCTGTGCCCTCGTAAGCCTTCCACACTTGCAGTGGCGACTTCGGCTGCAGAAGCTGTAGCCTTCAGTAGCGGACGCATCGATGCCTGGCAAATCTTGACATAGGTTCGGAATGCAACGTCGGCTATCTCACGTGTGGTGTGCACCTGCGGAATGCTAAGTTTTCCAAGTTCTGGGGTCGACTTCCGGCGTGGGGTTGACTAGCGGTAAAACCCATGTGCTGGCTTGACTTACGGTCGCTGGGGTTGACTTGGGGCGGGCGCCAAATAGCCTCATGTAATGTTGAACACGACTTTTATCATACATAAGACAGAGTACACATCATGGAATACAAAATGTATGGTGCACAACATACAGAATGTGGTGCATAAGCTATGCCTCAGGTAGTCCCGTGCATTTTCAACATTTCGACATTGAAAACGAATCCGGCCGGCGTAGGTTTGAAGCCGCCGGTCCACGATTTAGAGCAGAGTTGTGTGTTGCAGCAGCGCCGAAGTGCAGAATACGTCATGTCATGTCAGAATAAAACGGGATGTGGGGCCACCACGGCAGCCCTCTCTGGGAAGACCTCGGTTGTGGTAGCCCCTTGGTTGTCCCACCAGCACGCATGCTTAAGGGAGCATGCGCGACGTGTTGAACGGCCGTTGCGGTATCGTGCCACGCAGAGTTCATTGTGCAGTATCACCCAAAAAGACTTGAGGTGTACCTGAGTTCGTTTGGAATTGTTCTACCAATCTGATGCGGCGGATTTGAGAAGCTTCATGGAAGCGTGTGTGTCGGGCTGCGAAGCAGTGAACTCTACACATTACTTATGATGTCTTCGTGGACTTGTACGGACACCGTTCCAACTAGTTAAGTAGCTGTCTATGCGGATACTGACGCTGAAATCGGTGCGCTGTTTTCACTTCAAGCAAAGTTGAAAGTTAAGTGTCATATACTGATCTATATATATACAGTCTTTCTAGTGTTGTAGATTCCAGAGTTTAATATACGGGTTACATGATATGTCTTGTATTGTCTACTGTGGTCACCCCCGTTTTTCAAGCGCAGGACGTGGTCTTGAATGCCCTTGCCAGCTCGATCTTCCTTCTGCTGGCGGTCTCCATCCAGTGGTTCAACGAGGCCCTTGTTTTACTGCTACCTTTTTCTTTCGTTGAACGACGAGCTTCAGCATGAGTCTGCTTGTGCAGGAGCGAAGTGCGAAGATCGAGGCGCGTAATTAGTCGCGCTTCGCACGAGCTGGGTGAGGGGTGAAGGGCAGCGGGCTCACGAACTGTTCGTGACGAACAGAGACGAGAGCGCATGTTGCAATGTTAGGTGTGTGTTACCGCGTCCCTTTCGTTTCCAGCAGCTTGATGCCCTTGCGTTGAACGGCACATGGTGTTGTCGCAGGTCCTGTTGACGCGAGGTCTGGAAGACTGCAAGAGGTCGGTCACTGCAATTGCTGCTCCACATCCAGCTGTGTGACTGATTTGGTATGATCCGCAACAGATGTTGAGACGGTGTGATGTTCTGCATATGCGATGGCAGTGCTTTTCAATCGCTGTTGCAGGGGTCTAATAGTCTCCATCGTGTTGTGACCGCAGCTTCTTGCTCCAGACATAAACTAAACAGAATAGCAATTTGGTGCTGGCATTTGCTACGTCACATTTTACTCTGCCTCGTGTTTGTGTTTCGTTTTCTATGAGTACCAGTAACAAGTAGTATCATGATTCTTTTGTTGGGCCCACTATGGCAGTGCTTGTTGACAAGTCTAAAGTGAAGTTTCTGTTCAAGGTGTGAGTGTGCTTGTACCTGTCATAAGACGGTCGCATTTATTCTGTCATCTGCCCCCCAAAGCCGCGTTCTAGTCATTAAGGTGCCTATTTTAACAAAGTTGCGGGCTTCAGCCAACTGCTGTTGCCATGTGGGAACGTCCCAAAGGGACGCCGCCAGAGGCCTGGCACAGCAGCCCGACATGTTTGGCTGTTTTGTGGTGGAGCGAGCGACCTGAAGAATGGCATATGAGTATAGATACACATATGTATATATATATATATATGTATATATATATACATATATATATATACATATATATATATATATATATATATATATATCATGCGCACGCATGTGTCTACATATACATCTGTCTTTCTGATTAGACATATACTTGTATATACAAATATTATGTAGACGAGATATTTACAAAGCGTCTACATGACTAGATATTGTAATAGGTATATTTATGTATCTATGTATACACGCATGTACACACCGTATCTTCGTTTACTAATTCGTTTATGTCAATGTGCTTTATGCATTGGGTCAAATATAGAATTTCGGCAAGCTACCAAAGTCCTTATTGGTAATCGTGTCAAACAGCTGTGGTGTGTATGTGTACATGTAGCTCAGAAACACATCCAAGTGCCGCGGTGTGTCTGTCTGTCTATTTGTCTGCGTGTCTGTCTGCCTTTTCGTTTGTTTGTATGAATCTCTGTATGTGTACGCACATTGCAAGCAAGTATGCATATGTAAGAATGTAACTAACTAAGGAGATAAGTAAGTATGTATGTACATACTTATGTGTACATGTATGTGTGTGCATTATACGGTAGTTTTATGATATGAGTTTTTTTACAGGCCGATTAAGCGAGCAGTGGAGAACGTTTTGCTTCTGAAACGAAAGATGTTGCTTTACATCCGCACGACACGAGGCGCGGATCGGATCGCATGCACTTCCGACTTTCCACTTCGGAGACCAGTCACGTACCCGAGCCAGTTCCCTTGTGGCCTATACAGGGGCCAAACCCAACCACCAGCTGCCGCGCCGATTTTTAGCGATACAGAGCAGTTCGAAGTTGTACTCCCGTTTCGCAACCTTGTTCTCCGGTTGCTAGAATGGTCACACCCAGGTAGTCATGCAGGCCATCATGCAGCCGAAGAGCTGTCGCATCCCTTTGAGGTGACTGCCCGAGATTTTGAGCTGATGTTTGATCATGGGTAGGAATGGCTGAGACTAGCTGGCCTTGGCATTGTGCTGGCACTCTGCAATCTTGGTTCATCCGACTTCTAGACAGCGCCCTCAACAAGCCACGAAGCTGGGGAAATCATTGAGTGTGCTGGCAACTTACAAGCCTTCAACTCTGTTGGCGAGGCTTCATACATCTTTAGGTTTCTGCGGGCTTATGTGCTTGAGGGGCATGTCCTGACTCACGGGATAAGTCCTGGAAGCTATTGCCATGACCAGATGGAATGTCATACCGAGACTGATACGGAAGGATTTTTGTCCTGTGGAGACATTCACTGTAGCCGAAAACCATTTACCCTTCAGCAGGTGTGCCAACTTTTTGTTTTAAGTTTATGTCACTTCTGAGGCTGATCATTCCCAGCAGCTGCATCTGATGGATTTCGCCTGTCTAAACGGCGAGCACCACACGCATCGTCAGTTGCGTGTTGGATGTTTATACCAGAAAGTACTTCTCATGCAGCACACAGCACATGGTGACTAGAAAATTGTATGTGCTATATACTTTGTACTATATTATGGCAATATTGAAGGTATTCTAGTTTCAGTGGGCAATATGCAGGATACGGTTTGCAGTATGTGTTTTAGTACTGTATGCATCATATCGTAGGTTGTATACTGTATACACTATGTATACAGATATGGTGTCTGGTTTAGGTATACGGTATATAGTATACAGTACACAGTGCAGAGAACACAGCGCACGGTACACCGTATACAGTGACAGTATGCAATTGGTATGCCGGCTAAAGTATAGTGCTGAGTATCTAAGATCTAGTATCCAGTATACAGTATATAGTATGTAGTACGTAATATGTAGCATATAGCATACATGTTTCATTAACCTCTGTAGTACAATCAGTACATAGATATAACTTGTCGCACTCGCTCCAGTGGGCTGTAATGTGCGACTGCCAGGACCGGAAGGCACATCAGATACACCTTCGCCTTTCGCCATTATAGGTGTCCGCTTTGATTCACAGTTTACATTGGGGCAGGCGAACTTGCAGAGCATCGCAATTGAGGCACTGTCGCAGTCGGACCTCGACGCTGGGAATGGTCCCTCAAGCCACTTCTCTACTTATTCCAGCGTCTGCCTAGATGGTTTGCAACGGAGGATCTATCCAACACTAGGCACAAGTACAAGATTCGACCAGGAGCAGTAACCCTACACAAATTGTTGCAAGACCGGTACGCAGCGCAAAGATGCGCAAAGGACCAGTATGGCTAGGGCAAGCAGACCCTGCACTTCGTCCTGCGATCGCTGGTGTGCAGCAAGTGTCATCCAGGCACTGGGGCACATTCTGGTAGTGTTAGGTTGGAGCTTGAGTCCGAGCAGCATTGAACCGAATGGATCGGAAACACAGTCCAGGGTCGCGAAGTCAGCTTGGGTAGACACGTGCATTAGACATTGTCAGGCATTCCTTGTTGTGCAGGGGCTTGGATGCCGAGATGCACCAGGATCTGCGGCTCAGCTGACAGGGGTTGCAAGTGGTCCACACGTAGCAAATAGAATGCTGCGACTGGGCTTTGTCGGGGCGGCTCGGCAGATTCTCAGCTGGAGTGTTCGAGCCGTTCAGGAAGCTCCAGCTTCAGACGTGCTCTAGGCATACATCCCTCCCCGAACTATTGTGACTTTGAACAGAATGATCCCCATTCCGACGCATTCCGAGTTCCGTTTATTCGCGGTCTTCACAGAGAGATGCCTAGATCGCCGGCGGGATCAAAGCACTTCCTGCACCAAAGGCTTGATGGATTTCTTTCTTTTCGCGCCACCATCACGGCCAAGCATGAAGAAATCTTGCACCCGGCCAGCACTTCGTGGGGTCTCGAGGGTTCATGGCTGGAATTCTATAAGTATAAGGAGCCCTCAGCTTCCATGCAGTGTAAGCTGTTGTCTCGGGTTTGCAACGGTTCCAATGGCTCTTTACGATTGGTTTGCTTTGTCAAAGCTGCTTCCAGAGCCTCATCGTGGTTACGTGGCTTCCTGCGCAGGCGTTCCTTCGACATGCTCACGCAGAAGATGAAGGAGCTAGACAGGGTATGTTGCACCATGCTGCACCCGACTTATTGTGCCCTGGACATCGCACTTTCCATGCCACGTTAGCCAAAGTGGGCCATGGGAGTGCCCAACAATGTAACAATGTCACGTATCACATCGCAAAGATGCCCGTCAGCAACGTGACCCATTCTTCTTGGAAGGCTGCACCGTGCGATGCCGGCAGCAAGCCTGGTTCGCGGAGTGTCTCGATCTCGATGTCGCCGTCGCAAGTGTTACCTGGCAAGCATTTGGGGCCTTGTGCTGGTGCTCATGAGACGCTAAAGACATTAGGAGGACTCGCAAGCCCGGATGAGCTTCTTCTCCAGTAATGCTGTGCTTACCAGGTGCACAACAAGCAAGATGTTTGCTGAAGGTCAGCTGAGAGTCGCCGTTAAGGGAGGCTTGGCCTACTCGGTGTGTCCAGCTGTTGAGGCTTCCAGCAGCGAGCACGTCAGGCAGCCACGTCAGGGAGGAACCTTTGCAGCAATAAGATGCATGAAGTAGAAGCAGAGGAAGCTCCGTATGATGGCAGACTTGAGCTTTCCATTACGTTTGATTTTGCAAACCGCCGAAGGGCTTCCCAGTTACGACCGTTCAGCTGCTTCAGGTGAGACCTGATCCACCAGCATCACCTCCTTCAAAGCTACGCGTCAAGGCTTGGCAGGTGAGGTTCAATGCTGGCCGTGAGATTCTCGAATCGCGTCTGCGCTTCAAATCGTCGACATAGAGTTCAGCAAGGCTGTCGCATGTTTCGACGGCACAGACCTCGGTGCAGACACTGGAAATCTGTGGGACATCAGTCATCTTCACCTCATAAGCCAATCGCCCGCATGAAGCACCCTTAGGCAAGCTGATGAAGTACAGGCCGCATCACACTTTGTGCCACTGAAAGCAGAGGTGCAGCAAGGTCTCCTTCTCCGACGGCATCAAAATGCAACGCATGTCAAACCCGCAACAAAGGCCCTCAAAAAAGGAATCTTGAAGAAGATCCTGTAAACCTGGGCAAGGCCTCTTCTGAATCGTCCTCTACGTCTATCCACCTGGATACGAAAAGAAGTCTGTAGCAGAGAGTTTTGCTCGCACACCTCATGGGCCCAGCAAATGGCTTGATCCTCGAGCTTCCATACCGTAGCTGAAGCGCCCCAGTGCAAACCTGATTCCATGGGGCTGCATTACATTACATCCGTCTATGTAACATATTCATATAATAAAGAATTTAGCGAACATATATATATATATATATATACATACATATATACATATATATATATATATATATATATATATATATATGTATGGTATATCTTATACGTTTGCTTTGAACACATACTGTAGTGTAATAGTGTGTATATATATACACATTAAAAATTTATGTTCATAGCTAATGCACAGTGCTACTACAATCAGCCGTTTACATATATTAACATTCTCCATTTCGTCTAATTATGGTACGGTTGATGATATAAATCCTGCATTACCCATAGTAAGCACTAGACCATGATGCCCATAGTCCAGGGTCATGAAGGCAATTCAGGATTTAGATCATCAACCTAAACCCCATTAAACCCTAAAAGCCCTATAGATCCCCTAAAGGAGCCCTTAAAGATACCCTTATAGATCCCTTTAAAGGGATTCCTATCATCAACCGTACGTCCGGACTTCCTCCTAAACAGGCGCCGGCGCAGAAGTCCAAGACGACCTCGGCTCTTTCTGCTTGCGAGGCCCTTGAAGCAAGAAGCATCGCCGAGCTTCCGTGCCTTTTGGGGGTGTAGGGGTTTCGAGTTTTGGGTTTGAGGTTTTGAGTTTGGGGTATAGGGTTTTGGTGGTTTGAGGTTTGAGGTATTTGAAAACAGGGCACTTGTGACCTCCTGCCCGGTTCGGTATTTTCCAGGTGAGGCAATGCGCGGATGAGCCTGAAAATAATCTGACCGGTCTCAGACTCTTGCGAATTCCGTCTGCGTGAACGGAAGTGTTCCTTGCTGTGTTTCAGGGATTCTGTCGGAAGCCGCGAGGCGGAGCCATACTGGTGTGAGCAAACATAGACCATAATGCGAAGTTCTTCTTTTCAATCTGAAATCTCTCAGCGGAGAGCAACATCTTATCATCAATCTTATCACCTTTGGCCGCGTCGTCTTGAACCTAGACATGTTTTTCCTTACCTCGGCAAACGCGCGGAAGACTGTGATGGCCCCTGAAGGACGACATGCCAAATCGAAAGGCCTCCGTTAGAAGTGCTGAGGACAGGTTGGTGGCCAAAGCGTGCGTGGTCGTGCAGAGTCTCATGCACTGGAGTTGCCGAGTAGACACATGCCAGCGAGTGGCATCTTGGGAAGTAGACAGCAGAAGCGAGAATTTGTCAGATCGATGGATGTTATGTGGGACAGGAGCCGGTGTCAGTCAAAATGGCTGTTGTGCAGCACAAGGCTTTGGGGTATACGCTATGCCAATACTGCTTGAGAGTACTTGGAGGATCATGGGACTTAGTAAGTAAGGTTATAAGTACCCTATTTGGGGTCATAAGTATAGTTACCTTAATTATAACCCTAGTTGCCAAGTCCCATGACCCTTTAAGTAGTTGGACTTCAAAGCTCCCTGACAGGGCTCCGAGAAGGGCTCAGCAGACAGTGTTGGGCTTCCTGGACAACTGCCCGAAGCGCTTGCCGACGTGAAGAGCGACGAGGTGGGAACCGAGTATTTGCACATAGCACGAAGCAGCCCTGTCCACATGGGAGTTTCGGAAGATAGGGGACCCTAATATATTACCCTAAATAGTAGGATCCTTATTGTAATGGCCCGCAACAAGGTACCCCCCCAATTTCGGAAACTCCCACATGAGTGTTTCTGTCCCTCCCGTGTCTGAGAAGTGGAACCCTGGGCGCGAAAGCATGAACATGACCGCGGCAAACTGTCCCTAAACCCTTCCAGGAGGACACCAACTTTGATGCGGTTGCCGCTTGAAGTGAATGCTTGTGGCACTTGTACTTATATCATCTTATACCCTTAGTCGAAGCATGCCGTATCAACAACCCTTAGACGTTCCAAGAACGCCCCAGGCTGTCCGAATGCAGGGATTTGGCTTCGCCGGGTGTGCGTTCATGCTCAACACTCGCTGTGACCTTGTGTCCATCATGGTGAGGACCTAGCAGACCTGCTAGTGTGGGATGGCTTGAGCAGTACAGGCTAATGAGTATCTTGCAACACCTCTACCACGATACCATAATGCCCCATTCCGATACAGCAGGCTCCTGTATCAGCAGCACAGCCTAATCACCTTAGTCGCCACAAGTTTCCATCCACCGTGTCCAGCTCAGGGTGTAGTCTTTCATGGCTCTGACAGGCCGTCCTTCTGTGAGAGCCGGTCCCAGTGCGTGCACATTCATAGAGTGTGGATGGATAGGCTGATGTACCCACGGATAAACTCCCCATCGCAGGGAAGTGATGACGTCTAGATTCAGTCATGTCTGAAGCGAAAACAGCATGTAAAGGAACTGCAAGAAAAGAATTCCACCAGAGAGAAATGCGATGACACGTGACACGCCGGGACATGCCATGATGCGACAGCGACGTCAAGGCTCCCCAGCACTAAGACCGAAGTCACCACCGCCACTGGATGTAGATCTGCGCAGAGGCCAAAATGCAGTCAATGACTGTAGGATGGCACTAAGATTTCAGCTCTGAGTGCAAAGGCGACAATAGTAGCTAGTGCAGCAAAGAATCTGCTGCCGACAGCAGCAGCAGTAGGGCAACCGGCCGCAGTAATCTTACTGGGTAGCACTGATCGGTGGTCAAGCACGGTCATGGGTAGTACAAGCTTTGCAAAGCACTGGTGATTTCAGCGGTGGTGACGTCGGAACAAACCTCGGACTAACTTGCAATCATGTGCGCTGTAGACATCTTGTATGCCGTAGCAGTGAGATGGTGGAACTGGCCGCAACGCTGTTGAGACATCTTAGTTATTGTTAGGGAATAGGGAGCAGATGGAGAGTTTTACATGCTCAATACAACTGACCGACGTGATGCGACGAGATCCGAAATAATGATATGATCTCACCGGAGAATTAAGGAGGAATGGATCTAGGTAATCGGTCAGTTGCTCAGCTCATTTCTGAGGGCAAGCGGCGCTGATGGTAATACTAAGTGTCTGATGGCAGCAGGATGTTCGCACCATCAGCAACCCATTGTCCTTCGAACTGTCATTACCGGGGTAGTCTTGTCTCAAGGCATGTCCAAAGCCTATCTCTTTGACACGCTCTCAGGGTTTTGAGAGTTCCTGAGCCCTGAGCTCCGACCTTGTAACGCGACGCCCTAAGTCCTAAACCCTAAACTAAGGTACCAGAACGCAAAGCGCGCAGAGCGAAGACTGCCAAAGAGCATCTGCCGACGCTCTCGACAAAGCGCAGGACCCTGGCGATTCCATGGGATTCTGCAACACAAGCCGCAAGTACGCTCGCAAGTCTTCCACCAGGGTGAACTATCTCACAGCTCCAGGCTTTCTTTGAGGAAGAAAAGCTCAGGCTGAGAATATTGTGTACGCGAAATTGTGCAACGAATTGCAGGGTGACTGTGAACCACACCATTCTCGGGTTTGCACCGGCAAAAGGCCTCCGGCCTACCTGAGGACAGCTCTGTAGCTGCATGTAAGACATGTGCCACTCGAACAGCGTTAAACTGGACGGCCGCTGTAACAGATAAAGCAGAGACAGAGCGCCTGGAAAGCGTTCTCGCACATGCACAACAAGAAACTTGGACTCATCTTGGCCGACAGAAGTTTAGACAGCACGAGTTTCGAGGCCGTTAGGTCGGCTTGCCAGATGTTACACACGTTTTCCAGCACTAAAATGCGTTATCGTATATATGACAAGCAGCGCGAAGGTAGTACTGTAGGGGCCGCAGGCTGAGTGTGTCAAGTTGTCATTTTTATTGTGCTTGCTGTTGTGCATGTTATTGATTGCTTGTTGTTGTTGCTGTTGCGCTGCTGCTACTGCTGCTGCTGTTGCTGTTGTTATCGTTCTTTTTATTGTTAGTATTGTTGTTGTTGGTGGTGGTGGTGGTGGTGGTGTTGTCGGTGTTGGTGGTGTCACTGTTGTCGATGTTGCTGTTTGAAGACAGCTTGTGCTAAACGAACTTGCTTGATGTGGGCTAGTCTCGAAGCCGTATGCAGTATATATGTGTGTGATTGTTCCTGATTTCTTCGACGCTCTCGCGGTCCTTGGAAGGACATCTTGGCTGGTTCGATCCCAGAGAGTCTCGCCGCAGCAGGCAACCTGGATGTTACCAGAAGATGCACTCAGTGCACTTGCAGATAGCCAACATGATGGTCGCCCCAGCTTCTCCTACAGCGGCTATTGCTGGCAATCTAAGATCAAGCTCGCCCCCTTGCTCTCACTGAGTTTTCCGAGGATCGCAATGCCCCCGTAAAGCTGTCCCGCGATGAGAAGGCCCGAAGCGTTTGAGGGGGGTGCTTTCGCTGGTGTTCCTTTGACTTCACTTCTAGTGAAAGGCCTGTACGGCACGTGCTGGGACTGCTAACGTCTTTTGCCAGTGAGCCACTCAACTCTCGACAGGCGGAGGCCAAGAAGGCAGGCGAGCTTGCGCATGGAGGTGGCGGTCTGCTAGCGAACTTTCATGCTGAGTGTCTTGGCGGCACGAGGCTTTTCAATCAAGAACACTCTCATATACACTCGCACACACATACACACACACGGAGAGAGATGCGCGAGCTGCTTGGCATTCCTTGTTGTCTTAAGAGGTTCGTCAATGGCAATGCCGTAGAAGGCCGCGACATGCGACTGGATAGCTTCAGAAGCAACAGGCCTCCCCGTAGTTAGCAGACGACTCAGTCTAACTGAAGCCGAAGCAACGCCTATGCTTTGCGGCGAGTAGTATTGAGACAGGTACTCACCAACTTTAGTTGTGAAGAACGCCGCTGTTGGTCACTCGCCACCCGGCCATCCAGATCACGGGGGAATGTCAAGGAAGATGATTTCGCTTGCCAGCGGAGAGTCGCTTATGATTGTTGAGCTTCCGGAGATTCTTGTGGGCGACACAGGCATGCAGACTTACCAGTCCTGCAGCTCATATTATGTACGTACTGTTTGTAAATGTTTGTCACACGAAGCACGAAATAACTGTGGCGTGAGTCCGGACTGGCTTTTCCAGCAGGCTCTTGCAGGCAATAAAGGTTCATCTTGCTGTATCGCCTCTACACCCCATGATGTCATCTAGGGCCTAATTTGGGGCCCATTATACTATCATCATGATAGGGAGCCCACAAAATAGTATTGGTAATGAAACTGCCGTATGCCCACGCCGTCTTCCTTGTCTTTGCCTGGTGGGGAACGTTTTAGAGTAGCAGGTAGCGATTGAGTCTGGGATGTAAGGTAGATGTGCAAGATACGGGGCTCACCTACTGCAGAAGAGCCGGCCTATCTCCCGTCCCTACATGAAATTACCTTCCTTTGACAAGTCTTGCCGAAGCTTACACATGTCAGCGACAAGCTCAAGAGGCTGTTTCTGTTTGAGTCTTGCGCTGTCATGCTCGTCGGACCATGCTCAGCGAGCTTGTGTGCGCGTGTTCTTAGTCATCAATTGAGCATAGGGGGATCCTTCACTTAGAAGAACGGCTCGTCCCAATGTGCCTTACCACCTCTTATTTCTATCGTTGGAGTTTAACCGCGCAGCGATGTAAGGTCTGACCTTGCGAAGCACCGAGTGAAGAACAGATGTGCGAAGATCGTGGTGAACCCCTGGTTCGAGCGCTTGGCGCTCACGATGGTCATCCTGAATGCGGCGCTTTGATTAAGAGTGCATCTACAGTTGTGGAAGCCATAATTAGCGCGGCTAGAAGCCGCAATCCCCATTCTTGTCCACGTCGCCCACGATGTTTATAGCCAAGATACGTGCACACGTGTATAGTGCAGCCGCATCCACGTACATGCTGAGACTTCCGTCAAACCTCTACCGTCTCAGCTCGTCGCTGAAGTAGGATTTACGATTTAGGATTTAGGATTGCTTTAAGTGAAAATGGCTTCCTGCCGGATGGCATAGTGTGTAATGCGACGGGTTTTCTGTCTCAGTTCAGCTTAGTTAGAGTGTCTGGCTCGCCCAATTTACTTGCTGTTAACTCGGTGCTGCCTGAAATCCGGCTTCTGCGATGTGGAAAGATGGATTCTTCATACAATTGTGACGATTTAGTTGGTATACTCTGGGTCGCACAAGGTGATTGACAAACGTGAAACAAAGGTAAAACGAGGGGGTAAAAGGTCGAAGCAAGGCGAAGGCGGAGGTATCGCGGATAGCGAAGGTGAAACAAAGGTGAATGGGGCAAGGTGGAAAAAGGTACAGGAGGGGGTATCGGGGAAGAAGCGAAGGCGAAACAACGGTAACCTAGTGAAGGTAAGTGTGGAAAAGGGAAGAGGCATGGGAGCAGCTTGTAGGATATTGAAAAATACCAGAAAGCATCATCGTTCATTGCGATTTGAGGCACTGGGTGTAGAGGAAGCAGGGCCACCTTTGCACCGCCACCTTTCTTTTACCTTTCATATCTGTTATCTAGCATCACCTTTTTTTCACCTTTGCATGTTCACTTTTTTTTTCCTTTTATGTCCGGCCTGACTTTTTTCACCTTTACATCACAACCTTTGGTTTACCTTTGTCTGACTTGTTTTAAGTCTTTAGCTGTTTCCAACAAATACCGGCACTAGAACGTCACAATCATGCAATACATGCCACGAGATGACCCATACCCCAAGAAGCTGAGACAGGCGGGCGTAGAGAAGCCCCCTGTGAGGGGTCTCGGGGAGCGTGTATCGGTCGAGGTCCCCTGAGATTCAGCTTTTGGGTTTTTGTTGGTCATGTCACTTGGTTCCTGCACACTGAATAGCAGTAATCCGCTGCAAATGCAAGATATGAATCTGTTTGGCCAGTGTATGCGCTGGGCATGTAGTGTGTAAGTGCACGTGCGCGTACGCAGCCCGAGACCACGAAGCCTTAAACCCGAGGTGGAGATGGCCATGGATGTGGAGCTGAACCGAAACCTCTTCGGATATCTGTCTGGTGCTTCCCCAGTCTTTGCAGTCACGCAGAATGTGTTCTGCGTGTTTTTCCTGACCGAGTTGGTCCTTCGAGCTCCGGACTGACTGTGTTCACAGTTGTCACCATGTTGGGCTTCGACCAGCTCGGGGTACCAGGGTCCTATTTGATATATTAAATATGAAAGCGTTGTAAAGCCAGCATCCAGACTTTGAATCAACCTGTGTCTTTGCGGCATTTAGGCTCTGAGGACAGAGGACGGACCGCGTGAGAATGTGCCAGTAAAACAAACCAGAATGGCACTCATGTACTATAGGGGCCTAAGTAAAATAATTACCAATACTATTAGGGGGAGTCCTTATTATGGTTGCAGTATAATGGGCCCCAAAACCCTATTCTAATTATTACGGCCCCTACGGTAAGCGAGCTGAAGCTGGTCCGTTTTCAATCAGTTGTTTTCAAACATTTAGAGGAGTCCAAAATGCTTTCAAGCTCAGTTGGGGCTGTTTACGGGGGGCCATCCATCTCCGGTTTTTTGAAGAGTTCTTGAGCCCCCCCCCCCCCCAATCTTTAAGTCCACCGAGGATATTTGGGGCATGGTGGCCTGCGACAGTCCTTCCAAGATGCTTGGTTGTGCTTCGAGACTCTGCTCACTCTGCTGATGGTTCTGGAGACCTGGGTCTTCCAGCCGCAGAGAGCGTACTGCAGGGGCTTATAAACAGCTGTACAAATTATTCTAGGAGGTTCCTTAATATGACTGTAGTATAATATATATATATATATATATATATAAACAATCGCCAATTATATATATATATATATTATTGTATGGGGTTCCTTAATATGACTATATAGTATAATATAACCCCCAAACCCTATTCTGATTGTTAAGGCCCCCATATTCGTTGCTCGTGGCACTTCTGGAAGGATCAGGGGACTTAGTAACAGGTGCTAAATATCCTTCCTCACAAGTTCCTTGAAGCTTTAGGTAAAGATAGTAGATCGGGTTTGTCAGAAGTCCTGAGCTGAAATCAGCCAAATTTCGCCCAGCTTCCGAGAGGATGCCGGCAAAGTCCAGGAATCTTACCGTCCAAGACGAAGCTGAGATCTGCATGTTACACTGCAGATTTAAGTGTACTCTAGTATGTCTCTAAAACCTGTGTGTGCATCTATTTTTCTATATAATCATATATTATATTTCCTATATATATATATATATATATATATATTCATATATTTATAGGTTTGTGGGTTTATAGGTTCAAGTATATATATATATATATATATATGCATATATGTTAATATTACAGGATACTAAAAAGACTGTACTATAGTATTGTCAGTATTGTCTGTGGCAGCACATTCGGGGGCTCCGCAGTCTAGAGTGTCGCGTAGCTAGGTAACAGGTAAAGGAACTGGCGAACGCAAACACGCACCCGGACGCACTTTGACCGGATGGTGCGAGATCTTCGTTCGGCTCGCTGTGCCTGTGAATCTCTTGGGGCCTCAATAATTACTAATACTATTTTGGGGTTCCTCCTTATTATAATTATGGTAGAATGGGCACCAAAACCCTATTCAATTTATTAAGGCCTCTATGTTACATCGTCGTGCCACGTGCTTCTGTTGGAGTGGCACCCGGCCAAATCGGCTCAATCCCGAAAGCGAAGAGTGTCTTGATGCCTCAACACTTGAGTCACTAGAGGGAAGCGTGGGGTTTATGCCCGGAGCACTGCCACAGACTCTGAAGGATTGAAAACATGAAGTTTCTACACAAAGATCTTATAAGGAGACAGTGCAAGTTCAGTCGGTGGCAGTGGCTTCGCAGAGACTTTCTCAGCATTTGCTAAACATAACTGCAGATATTCGCTGATCCCTGACCCCTGCAAGCGCCTGCCGAGGTACTTCCAGCTCTGGAAGCCTTGCAATTCACCAGCCTTTCCGCTACCGCTGCAAACACTGCGAGCTCGCTGCGCTTTGCACGAGTCCTGCGCGTCTTGCGGACTGCTCCTGAGCTGAGCAAGATAAGGAAATGTTTTGTGTGGTTCAGACTATGATAGTAGGGATCCCTTTTTGCCTTTCTAGGGTTCCTTGCAATCAGATTCTATTCTTCAGGGTCCATATTATGTCCCATGCATTCTGAAACTTGGATGTTGTGGGCCTTTGTTTATGCGGGGCCAGCAGGCTTCTCCGAAGAAGTACGGGGTGCTCATTGCCGTAGGAGCATACGCGTGCAAGGGCAAGCCCAGATTCCTGATGTGTAGAAGTCCTGGTATCGTCAGAAGAACAGTAAAGCCAATATACAACAACTACAATATAGCGTAAAGCAGCAGCAGCTACTATCATACTGATACTGGCGCTAGCAATACGAGTGCCAACAACAACAAGAACAGACAGCCTAATATAGGGGCCTTACTAATTAGAATGGGGTTTTTGGGCCCATTATATGGGTTATAATGTTGAATAAGGAGCCCCTCAAATAGTATATACTGTAGGTAATTCTTAAGGCCCCTGCCTTAGCTCGAGAGTGATACCGGTAATGTCTTGGCTGTGGCCAGGTCCGCCTTGCAACGTTGCCGCAAAGAGCGATTCAGACAGGAGTCTTCCGGGGTTTGACAAAGGGTGTAGGGCTCCTTTAGGGCTTCCTTTTCAAGGGTTCCATAAGGATTACTATAATTGGGGTACTATGGGGTTGTAGTATAGGGACCTTACTAGAAACCTATACTGTCTTAGGGGGTTCCTGCTTCTATTATAATATATAGTGGGCCCCAAAGCCCTATTCTAATTATTAAGGCAATTAAGGCCCTATATTAGGGGTCATGTACTGCAGGGCTTGGTGTTTGAGGTATTGAGGCTTTAGAGCAAAGCTTTCAGGGTTCGAGCTTTGGGGCTGTCTGCATGGACACCATATTACATGCATTCAAGGATGCTTTCGCGGTGCAGGCCTCGCGCGACCAAGGGTGGCCAGCAGTGGAGGGAGCTTTCTGAGCGGAGTTCTGTGGTGACTGTGAGCGCCGACAGTCAGACTAGCGGTGCTAGCCTGAACCCGGAACCCTCTTCCGCAAGCCTAGATCAACCCAGGCAAGACTCGTGAAGTTCATGCCAGAGTTGATGATCTTGATCAAGGGCATGATGGTGGCGTGCCGATCAGTCTTCTTCACCCTGCTGCTTCTGCTTATCCTTACTGCACCACGGTAGCATGAGTAAGGTGCCTGTCGACCTGGAGGAAAAACAAGTCTTCGGCGTAACAGTAGACCATGCCGATGTCTGGCACAGTTTCTTTTCCCGAGGCTGCAGGAGTGCGGACGTTTGGACTTCAAGACGTATGTAGCGACGAGCAAAGCCCCACACTCAGGTCATCTTCGGTATCAACTTCATGGAATTCAGTCGTGGCACAGCTCTGGAAGCTCTCTACTTCGATACGCTGTGGAACACCGTCGGTACACTGTTTCTCGACATGATTTGCCGCAGGTTGTGCAGTCACGCGGGTTGCGAGAGAGTTCTTGCAGCAAGCTTGTCTACGATGATAGTGGACTAGGCGATGTCCCTGTTTAGGGCTTCGGACAGGTGGAGGCTTGTCTGACTTTCTCTCTGGCTCAGGCTCAGGCATACTCAGTCATGCGCCGCAGAAGATACTGCTCTTTAAGAAGTGCTGCGCAGATTAGCATCGAACACCCTCTTCTTCCGCAATCTGAGAGCGGATCTTGATCCCAACGCCTATAGCCACAGTGTTTAGCTGAAGGATCCTCCACTGCATCCTGCCCGACCAAGAGGTGCGGGGGTCAGTAGAGGCTCTGAAGATGCATGAGGCAAAGCAGTGCCTGTAGTCTGCGTCTCCGAGCCATTCGCGAGAGGTGGCCAGGTTTAAACCTTAGCCTTCGGAGCTTCCGGTGCAACTGAATGGCTTTTCAACTGTTCGTTTCGGCTTGAGGTGAAAGAACGCAGTTGAGCCTCCAGGTCTCACTCAAGGCGGGTTATATGTCCCGCAGACCCTGCATGATGAAGGTCTTCTTCCGCTCTGTGGCGACGGAGAATGAACCCCTTGCCGGGTTGGTCCTGCTCTTCATCCTTCTGGGCTCCTTCACTGTCGGGCGCTTAACCAAGATCGCTTGCTGCGAGGGCTGCGGTGGGCCGAGCCGAACCGGGCACCAGAGCCTGAATCCACGTCGAAGCAATGACAGGTCATGAACATGCTCTTGGGTGTCCTAGTGGAAGCAGTCAAGACGGTGACCCTTATCGAGCGCGAGAACCTGGATGCGGAAGTGGCACGAAAGGCTTCCCGAAAATGCCTGTTGCAGAAGTGTTGACGTCGTTTGTCTGTTGAGCTGCCAGAAGCCACTGCCATGGATCCATGGCTGTTCATGCTGCCACAAGTAGCCCTGGCGGACTATGTCTGGAAAAGCATGTCCCTGGTGTTGTTTGTCGAGGTTCTGTGGAACATGCTGGACAAGGATGGATCTGAGGATGATGAGCGCTTAATCACTCGCCAGGCAGTCGCGACAGCTCTAATTCTTAATGAAGAGCCCTAATTCTGTAAATATCAGAAGAACTTGAAGAAACTTCGAAGCGAAGTTGGGTTTGGGTGGTTTTCTGCGGGTGCCCTCACGCATCTCCCACGAAGTGGTCGGGTAATCGACACACAGAGAGTGCAAACCGTTGTCATTCAGCATTACAGAATTTTAGCTCCCCATACGATCCAAGACACCAATCGCCACTAAGTGCTTGAGTATGGCGGCTTGCCTGCGGCTTCACACTCCGTCACACTCCTTCACAGCTTGGGCAGGAATTTGAGGATTTGCTCAGCAAGAAGAAGGCCGCGAAGGCGTTGGTAAGTATCGGTGTTGTGACTCGTCTTCATTCAAGGCATGCTGGTGGCTCGCAAGCTTAATCTTCACCCTGGTCCATCAACATCATAGTCGGCGGAGGCAGACTGTCTTGACGACGAAGCAAGAGGTTTCTAGGCCACATAAGCCACGACTCCCTGACACGGTACACCGTGCTAAAGTCGATTGTGCACTGAATCGTGCACCCATGAGTGCTCTCTGCTAGGATGTGATGGCTGCAGCAGACATTGGCAAACTGTTGTTCGAAGAGGACGAGGCGATCTTGTTCTTGGACTTCATGCCATCTGGCGGCATGTTGTGAGAACTGCGCGCTAGCATCAGATCAGCGGGAACGGTTCCACATGTTGCAGATGTAGCCAGGGAGTTGCTTCCGGTCTTTGCATTAGTCTTAGGCTCCGCGATAGGATGCAAGCGTGGGTAGTGGTAGTCATCGGGGTCGTAAGCTCAGGTAGGCTTATTGCGCTCATCATCCAGGGAATGGTCTCAATCCTATGTAGAACAGCAAATGTAGTGAGGGCAGTAGTAGTACCCATTTTTACCCAGAAGGAGCATTCTCATCAGTACTGCCGTCATCTTCATCCTCTTCATCTTCTTCATGATCATCCTCATCTCAGCTCAGCACCAGAAACATGCCAATGACGAGCACATGCTTTGTTGTGGCCAAGGTCTGCTATGCTCACGCTGCGAGGCTCCAACAAGACCACCGTGAAGGACCTCACCCCGATGACAAATGAGATTGGGGCTTCCAATGATAAAGCGGTCGTACGAAAGACACCCCTGTTTATGGTAAGCCCTTCAATCTGAAAGACATCAAGCAGAAGGCGAGGCAGTTGCCGCTTACGGTTGAAAGGGCTAGCGGCAATTGCAGGACATTCGGACGAAATCATGGAAAGAGCTATAACCAGACAGCTCCTGCATGTGCCTTTTGACGGTAATTTTTCATAACATCCACCAGTTTCTTGGATTTTCGGATGATTGGCAGCCCCTCCAGTTCTTCATGCAACCGTTTCGGTTTCCGTGGGAGTTGGAAGTAGTGCACCGCACATCAACGAGGGCGCAGACGGAAGAGCATGGTTGCCGCTGAGCTCCGCTGGAACCGCAGTCCAGCACGAGGTAGATAATGCCCGCCCCCTATACACCTTTTTAAGCTGTGCGTGGAAGCTTCGAGGACATTGTCGAGCTCCGTAAATGGGTTGCGGAAGAGTTCTTGAAGGTCCACTCGCTGGTGGGCCTTTTGGCAGTTAAGATATGCCACAGGGGTCTGACGAGTCTGGAAACTTCTCCAAGGAGTCATATATGATAGATATATGCATAGAATGGCTGTGCGTAGCCACATGCAGCATCTGTGCTGATTTGTTTGTTCCTTTGTCTCCACATACGTGTGTATCATGACATACTGCATGTGTTTATGCTTTTATGTAACTATGTGTGTGTGTCTGTGCGTGTATGTACGTATGCATGTCAGTATGCATGCATCTATGCATGGGTGCATGTAGGCAGGCATGTCTGTATGTCTTACATACGTATGTATGCATGTATGTATGTATGTATGATATGATATCAGATAATATGATATAATATGTATGTATGTATGTATGCATGTATGTAGCCATGTATTTGTGTAGCCACGTAGCTGTGCATGTGTGTGTACGTATGTATGTATGTATGTATGTATGTATGTGTATGTATATGTATATGTACTTGTAAGTACATACACGACACATCTGAGTTCTTGGCGCAAAACATGGGAGGAATCCACGGCATCAGCATTCACCACTTGCAAGGAGCAGCAGTAGCATCTGAGGTGAGCTCTGTGGCTTCTTGGCAGAGCATCTGGAACCTGCTGAAGCTCCACAAGATTCCATGAGGCCACAAGAGTTACAAGCTAGTCAGTCTCGGACGGTTGTCCGTGGCTGAAGACAGGGTAGTTGGACTTCTTTGATATCTGTGCAGAGACCAAGTCCATGAAGCCCTTTCAGTCGTACTTCGAGCCTACCGTACGCAACATGTACACATGACGCCAGGCGAGACGTGACGGCCGACTTGGAGTAAGCTCACTCTGCTGCGGTTGCAGCGTGATGGTTTCACTTTGGTTTCCGCCCAGGTGTCTGACCATACCCTCGAACAGCGCATTTAACAGACACTACCGGGCACTTCAGGTTCCGCGCAATGCTGCGGTGTTGATTTTGTAGCCTGGGGGGCGTGCAGCTGCCCTGCTCGGCTGCTTCACATGCCGTCTCTATAGAAAACGAGGTCGTGTTCCTGCAAACCACAGAACACACATAAGACATTTTGGCCACGTGCGCCGATCAGGAGGGATCTTCCTCCGCCCTCCAGCATCTCTGCATTTCATCAAGGATGAAGATGCGGTTTCCATCTGGTTTAAGACCGTGATCTGCCCAACGGGCAGATCGCGGAGCCGAATCTCCCGAGCTAAAGTGGTATGTGCCCAAAAGTCTCGCATCAGGCAAGTGGCAAAGGACTGCCCGATTCCTTCCCGAATTCTCCTCATTCCTCAAGCGCCTACCATCACCTCGCAGTGTCCATGCTGACCAACTGGACACCGAGAATCGTGGGCGACTGGTCCACGTCCAGGCTCGCAGTTGCAGAGCTTCTGAGCTCATGGACCAGGGAACAACAGGATGTTCGGGTCTCCGCACGCCTTCAGAATTCCATAAAGAAACCTGCAGTGGCCGCAGCCTGTGTGAGTTATGTCGCAGATATCAGGGAGACTGAAGTGATGGGCTTGGCAGGGGCGAGCAGCGGGCAAGGTTGCCTGCGTGGATCCCCAATTCCAGGACAGTTGTATGCAGGTTCATCTGTTTCTGGTTCTAGCATCGTACATTCGACATACCGGTAATGAGCGGGGCAGCGTAGGAAGCTTCGACAGATCCGGACATTGCAGGTCAATCACGACATAGCAGTGCTTGGTACATGTGATTGCCAGTATTTATGTACATGTCTCGCCAACGGTATGCTCGTTGAAGACAAGTTAAGACCTGTCCCGAACTTTGTCAGGCACTTCTGTTGTTCTCTGTGACCCCGTACTGTAACTATGCAGACCATTAACGGAGGAAGGTACATCATATTCCCATAGGCTATGGTTCTCATAGCATGTGTATATATATATATATATATACACACATACACACACACACACATACACACATACACACATGCATACATACGTACATACATACAGACAAACAAACAACCACACATACATGCATGCATGCATGCCTACATAATAAATACATACACACATACATATGTACAGACATACGTACGTACATGATTATATGTTTAGATATTATAGACTGTATGTATGTGTATGTACTGATATTTATAATACTTATATGCACGCATGTACACGAGCTCCAGCGGATGTGTTGCGAAGCACGAACGAAGCCAACAAACACACAAACAACCAACTAAGCACAAACACACGCATGCACACATACACGCGCGCGCACACACATATGTATGTATAATCTATCTATCTCCCTCTCCCTCTCCCTCTCCCTCTCCCTCTCCCTCTCGCTCTCGCTCTCTCTCTCTCTCTCTCTCTCTCTCTCTCTCTCTCTCTCTCTCTCTCTCTCTCTCTCTCTCTCTCTCTCTCTCTCTCTCTCTCTCTCTGTTTATATGTATATATATATATATATATATATGTATACTGATACATACACATATGTGTATATATGGTCAGGCGTCTGGCGTTCCCAGCCCCCCCCCCCCCCCAATGGTATGGTCTGATAGGGGTGGGGGGGGGGGGGGCCTGGCGTGTGCGGAAAGGGGTTGGGGGCTGTTGATGGTGGGGTGGTGCTGGCGGCCACGGCTCACGCGCAAGCCCTTCGCAAACAAGCCGTAAACCCTATAACGCAGCGCGTGCCCCCGTTTTGAGCAACCTTAGCCTTAGCTTGTACTTATAACTGCAGGCCCTAAGCCTAAAGCAGAGCATACACCGCAAATCCTCCCTAAGCCCTTGTCGACTCGAAGCCTTATACCTTGTAACCGTAAACCCAAAACTCAAAAGCTTAAGCTAAACCCGAAACCCCAAAACCCCACAACCACCCCACAGGAGAAAGAGGAACCCCACACCCCACACCACAGGGGAGGGGGGGGCCCCACCCTATATCCGGACCATTGACCTTTGGGGGGGAGGGGGGGGGGAGGGGGGGGGGGGGGCTGCGGAGCGCGTGACCATATATATATATATATATGTATATATATATACATAAGTAAATAAATAAATAAATAAAAATATATATATATACACACATGCACATTCACAAACAGCTTCCGAGTGTTTCTGGTCTTGATATGTAGGACGCAGATGCCTACTTGTCAGGATGCTCTGGTCGACGGCTGCTTGAAACTTCAGAGCACGCTGGAGGCTGCCGGGAGATAGGATTCTGTCAGCGTGAGCCAGGGAAGAGTACGAGGAGGGGCTTTAATGATTACCAATACTATTTTGGGGGCTCCTTATACGTATAGTATCATGCGCCCCCAAACCCTATTCTACTTATGAAGGCCCTTATGTTACGAGGAGGAGTGATGGCACGAGGAAGGGACGGTGAAGATAAGACAGGCATGTGACTTGAAGGAAGAATCATAGTCCAGGGAATGTATGGTGTTTGTCTGAAAGAGCTTTTTCTGCAACCCATGCATCAATACCAAGAACGGCAAAATAGGAACTTCAACATCTATTGCACAACAACGCTCTTTGGCTCTCGCCGCCATAGAGAATTGCTGCAGATGGTTTGCGAGCGAGAAAGTTGAAGGGATGAATATCGTGTCGCAGGTGTAGTTGGCTCCCATGATGATGTCGATGATGGTGATGAGGAGCAGGAGAGGAAGATGTTCATGAGCAGGAGGACGACGACCAATATGATGATCATATGGAGACGACGAAGTGGATGCGGAGGAATTCTTTACAGGTGTGCGTGCGCATCTTGCCGGGTGCGAGATTGTGAGTCAGCAGGTAGGGCCAGAGCAGGGCAGTTGAGGCAATGCAGGTCATTGTAAGATTGCGTCCCGACTTTGTCAGGTGCTGGAGTGGGTTCCGACTTCAACTTTTGTGAAGGACGGCTTCTTCTGGATCGCAATCCTGCCCTCGCACCACAAATTCGGGGGAGATGCTATCCGGGGTCTGCATCTGTCAGGAGGGCGCAGGGCAACCACGACACAGCACAGAATGGACAACGTCCCACTACGATTCTTCACGGTTCAGGTGACTTGCACGTGCATGTTGCGCTTTCCGGTTCAATGTACGCTTGCCGCATGTTAAACTTGCAAAGTTTGTCGCATGATCAGTTGCGCTGACGAAGCATACTGTATTTAGTATGTTCATCCCACTCGTGGGAGAACAGTGAAAGGGCACCGCGCGGTCGCAAGATGACAGGCAGCCAAGCCCACAGAATCCACGGTTGCCGGCGCCCTTCACTCAGCAGAGTTCAGTCGGCAAGCAGGTTTAACCCGACAAGGGCATGGCTGCATTGTATCACGCACATGTCACTGTGTGAAGCACCTGTCGTTCCGAGCAACCGCTAAACAATTACCTGTCCAGCTCGGTCAAACTGAACTTCTGGTAAGTGGAACTCGTTACAAGGTCGCAGGATTGTCTTGCTTTCTGTTGCACCTTAAGAACTTTGAAATTTCATCTCCTGGCTTGTGATACTCTCATCTTTAGAACATGCAGATGTAGGCCATGCTGATGGTTTTAGTCGCAACGCACCCTATCAGTGACGGCCATCTCAAAATTTGTTCAGCTTCCAGGGGCCTTGTCCTGGGCACGCGGACTACGGCATCGCCAAAAGCCGAGCTGGGTGTCTTCCATTTGTCAGAGGACCGGTGCCAGGCGGTAGACGTCGTACGCACACGCTGCAGATGTAAGTTCTTTCAAGTATCTTGATTGTTCTACATTGCATTGAGAGGCTCATGAACTGAGCGTGTCGTTGAAGCATTCACCACTCATAAACCCTAAGACGTGTTCCGCTCAATGACCAGGAACGTATAGGAAGCACGAGCATGGCTCAGAAGGCCTTTCTGAGTGAGCGCTCTGCCATGCAGCTCCGTTCGATGCCCGCGCACCAGGCTGCACTTGCACCAAGTCAAGCAGACGGCACTGGATCTCTCGGTTGTTCTGTTTTCCGAGTGCTTGCAGCAAGACGGGCCAAGTGCGGATTTTGTCTGATCTCAGACAGTGTTCCAGGCTCGTGTAGATGCGGCGTCTTCGGCAGACACTGCGCTGCATCGCTTGCTTCTTGGCTGCACAGGACTCACGTTTCAAAGAGGCAGCAACTCCTGCGTGCTGTTTTAAGCGCCCGACAAGTGCATATTGGTGCTTTCCATACTGCGAACGTTTGCAACTCGCAATTGGCAGCCTCCGCAGTCCTAAAGCTCAGACTCCGAACCCAAAAGAGCGCCGGCATCGTGTGAAGTGGCAACAGCAAACCACAAGTCAATTGCCACGAGCCTCGCTGGTAGGTCGCCTTGCCACAGTGGCAGGATCCAGCAGACTAACAACAACAAAAACCATCAGCAACATTGACTCCCCTAAACCCTAAACCTTAAACCCTAAATCCTAATCCTTAAGCCCTAAAACTTTAAACCCTACACCCCAAAACCCAACCCTCAACCCTGAATCCTAAACCCGCCGCCTGAAGCCAGGCTCAAGCTGGGAGATGCCCCCGGGGAAGCCTCCGTGGAAGACGCCGTTCATGGGGAGATCGGCTCTTGGTCTTACCTTTGGTTAGTAGGGAATGGAAGAATGGTAGTAATAGTACTTATGGGTTTAGGGTATGAGTTTAGGGTTTATATAGGGTTTAGGGAAGAAGGGTAGTAATAGTAGCTATAAATTGTACCCCATTCCTCCATTCCCTACTAACCAAAGGTAAGTGGTCGGATCGGCCACAAGTTCTCACAAAGGCTCCCTGGCAGCAGGTTTGGTGTTTTTGACTTTACAAAGTTTACATAGGGGTCTTGATTAGAACAGGGTTTTGGGGTATGGCGAAAACCAGAAGGGGAGTAATTCCGACCCCTGTTTTTGAAGA